TAGCTCTTTGGCGCGTACACTTGTAAATTATATGTTTAGTTTCTGCTTAAAACGCGTCTTTATATACCGGTAGTATTATTTTCTGTCATATTTTCGGCTTTTTTCGCATTTTTTTTTTACAATTCGCTGTATTGTTTAGGCTGTTTAACTGTATAACGTATTTCAAACTATTACCTGTTTGAATGATCTTTCTAAAATTATTCCAAAATATAGTGTGAGGGATAGGTAGCTACGTGCGTTCTGTACATCTATTTTTAACACCCAAAACTTTCAACTATGTTAACCGTATTTTTAAAGGGATTTTCCTAACCAAAGAATCTTATTAACCCTTCGACAATTTAAAATCGTTGGGTAAAAGTTTAAAATCAACCAAGCAAACGTGTAAACCTTACCGGAATAATATATGAACATTTCCACATAAATCAATACCCTCTTCATTGATCGCAAAAATCTCATGTGCCCATTCAATTACATTTAACCCGTGTTCTCAAAACGTCAACAAAGCCAGAGGCACGCATGTAAACCAGATTTTTTTCTAATTTCCCTGCTCAAGTGTCCGTGAATATTAACTACGGGTTATTGGTTCGACGAGCGCACAATGCTAAGGCCTGGAACATTGAAGGACCTATTCACCCCCTCCCCCACTGACGTCACCACATAATGAAATGCATTGTGGGTCGGGGGGAACTCATTATCCCACAATAAGAACAATACCTCCCTTAATGTGACTGGCTAGGGGGACTATTTCTCCGCTTCTTAATTATAGCCTATTTCCGAAAGGGTGCGGCTTTGAAATTCCCTTTGTTTCCGGGACGCAGTTGTCCTTTTTGATTTCCAACTTTGTTCAGATTTATCGGCTGCCCTTTATCTCTTGATCTTTACAATCGTTTCGGATACTTTCCAACTTTCGCGGAGTTTGTCGTTGATATTGTATTGGTGTTGGTGTTGGATGGATCAACGTCTTTATTGGTCTTTTAAGTCTTTTTTGGTTGAACGAATTTTCTAAGCTGCAAAATTAGGGTAAGTACTTAAATTTGAAGATGAGTCAAGTGTGAATTTAGAATAAGTTAGTGTTTCCATTAATGCTATAAGATTAACCGGTTTTGACGTATTTTCGATATTGTACGGTATAGCAATTGATTTTAATATTCATTGTTCACGATGTTGATAACTGGATACTATTTTAAATACATCAATTAAACCCTAATAAATTACCAACCACAATCAAATGGTTGCGAAAATCATGACGATTTATGTCTAGAAAGTTGTACAAAATTGTTGCATTTATTACTGATGTATTGGGACTTAAGTTCTTATGTTATCAAAATAACCTAGGATTCCAAGAAACCTTTCTAACCTGAACCTAAATGAGTTTTGCTAAGTCCAGAATCAATTGACGTAGAATTTTACACCAAAATTACTACTAAACGATGGATACTATTAACGAATGCTGTACTTATTGTCTTAAGATATAAGTAGATATTTATCACATTTTAAAATAGGGGTTTCAGGTCACGCCGTCGATATTGTCTAAAAGTTTCTTAGTTCATGGGAAATTACAGTCTGCGGGTTACTTTTTTAGTTTCAGAGAAAATAGTGAATAACGGCCAAAAATTCCTCTCAGTCAGAAAAATCCCCTAAATTGTTCCTAGCTGATCCATAAGGATGTTAACTCTAGGCCTACTAGCGAGTGTAGCACAACTTTTATTTGCTTGCCTCCTCGATGACAAACAAAAGCCAGAAAAGCTTCACCTGTTTTTCACTCTTTATCTGTCCAAGCCCTATAATGACCATTGCTGAGTGTTCGGCTCGAACGTCGGTTTTTACGACTGGCTCAGCGTGCCCCATGTCGCTTTTTACGGCACACAGTGGTTGCTATCAGCAATCCCCGATCAGCAACAGTTTCGTCAGCCCGTTATTACTACGTTCTGGTGGTATTTTTCCTCATAATCCCAAAAAACGGGACCTTTTGCATTGTTTTGCTTTGGTTGGTATCAATGTTTTCGGTTTCAATCCGGTATGTTATGGATTGTTTACTGAGTGTTCTTCTGTTTGGATCAAATTCAACTTTGAGTTGTATAATGTTGTAGTCTAAAGATGTCCCTGGAGTTTTGTGTAGGTGCGATTATAGAGAGGTAGGGCCTAAAATATTACTTTTCTTCATAACAGCTAACATCTATAACAGCCATGTATGATCCGGGCTAAATCTATACAGTATTTGTAAAATTGTATGAAATTTATAAACCTTTCAATTCAAAAATCCAAAACTATTAAAAATTTACCACGCATATTTTGGTGTAATATCCCAATTTCAAGACCCTCCAAAGTTGTGAAATATTTCGGCATAACTTATTTCAACTTAATTTAACGGATGATTGGTGTATCTAAATGTGGTATATCAAATCTAAAACAAACAGTAACTAGTTTAACTTTTAGTTAACATAGTTAGTTTAAGTATATGGAAATAGATTAAATTTAAATAGTTTGTATGCTAGTTAATGTTTAGAAGAAATCGAATCCAAACAATTAAGACAGAAAGTTAAGAACCCTCCAATATTTTACTTCAACTGTTTAGGTACTTTTATTAAAAGTTATAGAAACACTCCATCTTTCACATTATTGAATGATTTGACCTACAAAAACTATTAAAGGAATCTTATTGGTTATAAGGAGTAATAATGTTACCAAACAGGATTTTTATTTGCTGGAAGTCCATACTAGCATTATTTAGATAATAATACTTACAGTATCATAGCACCGTAATTTACATTTTAACCATTTATTGGGTCTTGAACTAATAAAAAATTTGTGCCGAAATATAAAAAGAGTTTTTAAATTTTAATACTGCCTCATTATAGACGCTACTAAACATATTAAGGCAGATAATTAAAGTTAGAGAGTGAATTATTTACTTCCCTCACATACAATCAATACAAGATTTTGTGTTATATATTTCTAAATTATGTGACACACTTTGACGATTTACATTAAAGCTTTGAAACTCAGTAATGAAACAAGCACGTTTCGGAAACGCGTTACATTGCATATATTATCGCGGCTGCGGTGACGAAGTCTAGAAGGCCGTGGCATCGTCGCTTCAGCTGATTTACGAACCCCGGGGAGCGACATTATACAGGCCGTGGCAACTGATTTTAATTCCTCGTACATCTGCGCCGGCTGCCAGCGGATTTTCTTTCTTTAATTACTTCATTAGAAGCATAATGTTGATAAATAGGACAGTCTGGTGCGTTATTTAGAGCGTTTCACCGTCTCAACAGTCGGGTTTTTAATTCAGAGTGGGTTGTGGGGAAAAGGGTTGAAGGAACTTGTGGAAGGTAGTTGTTAAAGTTTAGGTTATTTTTAATATAAGTTATGAATTATTGTTTTGTCAAAGTGATCGACATTTAAGAAGTCTTGTCCGTCCATAGAATAATTCCGTCCATATATCTGGTTTGCGAAAAGTCAGGTTTTAAATTCCCTGCGAGACGATTTCCTCATTATTAGGCCCTCATTATTATTATTACATTATTAGGCCTACCTAATAATGAATTTACTAAACGGTCATAATTTAAGACACACTCACAACAGATCCAGACTTCTCACTTTAAGAAAACTCAAATTAACGTGGATTATTACAATATTAACAATCTCAAACTTGAATTTACATAAATTCACAACGTATTAATTTCCGTTCGCCGGCACACCTAGATATTACATGCAGATGTCGACAGATCCTGGAAACCTACCTAATTACAGCTATAATCGCCTCCCAGTAAGCAGCTATAATTATATTCCGTTCGTAAAAACGCATCTCGCACGCAGCTTTAATTTTCCTCCGTCATATGCGTTCAATCTGATTAGCCTCCCCTATTTTTCCCCCTTCATTAAGCAACCCTTGCCGGCCCAGTTTAATTATAAATGCTCGCCAGTAGCCCGCCTTTTGTTAGGGACACGCCGCGAAGCTCCAATAATTAATTATTTTTTTATAAAACCCCGAACGCGATTTAAAAATCGAACACTCGGCGTTGAATAATTCATTTCGCATTGTTTCTCCTATACGTTGACGGGGGCGGACCGCTTTTGCAGGCGGAGGGGTAAATCGCGAAATATAATAGGGAAATGTATGTTTTTTTGTTTGGCGATGCGGATTTTAATCCGGATTGCGAAGTCCCCGGCCATTGTTACGGATCAATCGGAGGGAATAAATGAGATTCTCGTGATTGGACAGAAGCTCTCCACGCCGCGCCGTCCGCCGATTTTTTCATTACATCTGAGCGCTATTGTTTTAACTCGAATGCGAATCACAAACCTGTACTTGTCATTTTCAGTTACGCTTTGATTCCGCGTTTATCGATTATTTGTTACTGTCACTGATACGACAAAAGGTTCGTTTCCGCTTGGAAATTGATTTTTTGCAATTTTTGTCCACCGGTAAGTTATCGCCCGCGGACGATTGTTTGTTTTGTTTCGCGTTCTTGTACGTCTTGTGTGGCATTGTTGACTGTGTTGAATGTCGAGTTGATTGGTCCCGAGACACTTTTGTAAAGTTTCGTTCTTATTTTGACCCCTATTTGAGCAGCATACATATACACTGCTGCTCGCGGTCTATTCTCTCGCTCCCCCAGAGCAGACAAGAGAGAGAGAGAGAGAGAGAGAGAGTGAGAGAGATCGCACCCTACATCTACCCTCTCTGTAACCCCCCACCCAGCTGATCCAAGGTCAAGAAAATGATTGAGAGGTTCCCTTGCTGTCATCACCACATCTGAAAATATTTCGATTAATTTCAAAGTTTTAAACTCGTCTACTCTTCATGATAATTATCCTTATTTCAAACTAATTATGTAATTTAATTATACAATGACTATGCATTCGTTTATCTCAACGTCCCTAAAATATAAAGATATTCACTCGCACCTCTATTAACAAACAAATCTGAATCTCACACATAAGCTGGATGTTCCGTATTTAAAATAACCACTGAACGTTCATTTCTGGTTTAGGTTCCTGAACCCGAAAAGCACTGTCTGGAGCTGACGCCAGTGTGCTATGTGAGTAAATGTGTGACATGGATGTGCTATTTGTCGTGTGTTTGTAACTGTGCTTTTTAGCTGTGATTTTAAAATGCGTTAAGTAGAATTTTTACACTTACATTTTATGCACAATTTTCAGCATGCGTTTGAAAAAGGATTGTTGTATGTGATTGCTTCTAATATTTTACTAAGATTGTGTTCATACTGTCTTTCAATAGCATTCAACAAATCAATCATTAGTAGGATAATTCATAGTTCCAATGAGTTGCTTATGGGACTCTTAAGCAGGTACCTAGCATTAAACTAACCCAACTTTGAGTTTCAATAAATTAATTTGTGTAGATCTGCTGCAGTAGTATAATACCTATAGGAAATCAGAAAACAATGTTTCCAAATTATTTAAAATTATATCTATATCACATTACTTAACAATATTGCACTACAAATTCCTACAACTAATTTTAATACACTGATAACTAAAACAGAACCACCACACGGGAAACAAAACAAGGGCAGTGTGTGCAAACTGGGGTAAATTCTACAATGTCTCGGGCAGGGAAATTTGTTTAGGGCAGTTGGCAATGGTGTATCAAGACCTACTCGATAAAAGGAAAACATTTAGGTGTAGATTGGACTGGACAGGGGAGTTTGCGGGGGAGGGGGAGGGTAAAACCGTTGATTAGATGTGCGAGAGAGAGCGAAGATATAATGAGTCAGCTCCGAAGGGTGGGGACCTACTTTATAATACTAAGCGAGCTCTAGATGGAATTATCATAATTAGTTTTGCTCTTGCCATTAAAAATGAGGCCCACTCATGCACGTGTGTTAGGGGTGGGGATTTTTATAATTAAAGGGAAGATCGTCCCCCCACGAGGGCCATACGGTGCTCGAATTTGCATTCTGTAAACAGCCCATCTGGCTCGATCGGGTAAATAAACTTTTTTGTTTGCATCTTTTTATTCAAAAACGTTTGAATTCCAGTGGTAGTCTCCATTCCAGAATTCCAGAAGTAGCCTCTATTTAGCCTGTGTAGCAAAAAAAAAAACAAAAACAAAAAAACTGAGCAAACACGTCGTTTAGAAAGTATCTGAAAGTAATAATAATTTATTAGAGATCGAGCATCTCCAATATGGTCTGAATAGCAAACATCAACTAAACTGAGTTTTTTTGCAAAAGACTGTTTTAAATCCCTTCGAAAAGCTGCTGATTTAAATGTTACCTTGAAATAGCTAAGACCTCGGTAAAAATAATACCAATAAAAATCAAATTCAATAGACAAAACCTCTCATAGTAATTAAATTAAACTGAGTTCCATTAAAATTGCTAGTTTCAAACCCAAATAATAAATCAAATGGGTTTTCAACTGCATTACTATACAACAAAAACCGCGATGAGAAGAATACCTTTATAGCAAGTACCACTCAATATAGATTACCTTTAATACAGCCTTTATATCAAAAGAATTAGTACCCTTACAAAAATTTCACGTTTCAAATCCCATTTAAAAAACAGGTAAATTAAACTGTATCATAATACGGCAAAGAACTCGGTAAGAAGAGTACCTCAATAACAGGTATAATTCAATACTCCGTTGAGCCTTATTTTGACTGTGCAAAAAGTAGGTATGACAACTGAAGCTTCAAAATAACAGCTATTTTCATAAATGTGTGTTATAACGATTTCTAAAGAAAATACATATTTGAAATACGCCACTTATGTAAACACACAACCCATTGTACTCTTTCGGCAAAGCTTTTTGAAACAACTAATTTATAAGAGTGATAAGAATTAAATTCTTTATACACATGTTATCTTTTAATTTTATTGGCAAACTACTCACTCAATACCCTCAATGTTTAACAAAACAGCTGATTAATAAAACATGTAATATCAAAACAACTATAGAGTTGTATTGCTTACTTACAAGTACCTACAAGTAACCAGTTTCAATGTCTACGTTCATGTTTGTATTTGCAGATTGAAAAACTGCTTTAATAATTGAAACTATTCGCCAAGATAATGTCCACAAACTTTTAAATTTCTAAAGACACCAATTAAATGTAAATAATATTGATAGAAAGTATTTCTTTACCTTACTATCTAGCCAAACTGAATGTTTCGTGGCGACTGCCAGATCTTTAGGTTTCATTTTATGTGAATCGTCATACAATTTAAAATTGAGCACAAAACACACGTAGACATAAACAAATTCAACAAAAACACTTTATTTTAATAGGATTACCTTTTTTCTAAATGTTTTAAATGTCTACGTGTGTTTTATGTTAAGTTGCAGGTAATGTAATCAAAGTTTGCATTGTATCATATCAAAACTTTATAAAATAATAATATCTTTAACATTATTTGATTACTCAAAACAACCAATTTCATCGCATAAATACAAGATGATGCTTAAATAAAAAACATTTGATTAATTGTATACTTTGTAACATAGCCTTTACCAAGTTACATATAATTGAAAAGAGAAATGTCTTGTTTCAATTAAATTAAAATGCAAAAACAAGTATTCATCACAAGTATTTGTTTATGTAAAAAAATGTAAAATAATATTTCAATCTTTTGTTGGCGTACACGATTTATCACTCAAAAGAGGTGAATATGAGTTATATTTTGAGGGAAATTGATTATTATTTATGCTTGTTAGCGAATTTCCCATACAGGGAATAAGCTATTACCGTAGTACTCATGGTAAGACCTGGACGGGAAACTGATTTTTTTTTCGTTTTGAGGTCCCTAGAGGCCAAAAACACCATCCGTTCAAATTCATATATATATATATATTTATATATAGATATATGTGTCCGTCGGCATGATAACTCGAGCAAAAATGATCCAATTTTGATGAAATTTGGTACAAACGTGTAAACCTACGTTTATTCGAACGCGATCCAGCATGATCGGATCATGGGAACGGGGGTTTACGGGGGGGTTTTATGGGGTAAAAATAGATTTTCCTCATTTTTGACCCAAAAATCATAAAATTTAGCAATTTCTTTCCAAACCATTTTGTAGAGCTTAAAAAAACAAATAATTTACTATATTGAAGCGTTATTATGCTTCTAATTGTTACGAAGAAAATTCCAAAAAATTGTACATTTAAAATTCCTATGTTATTCTTATGGAGAATAAGTAAACTGTTGTAGTTTGCTTGATTATGAACATATTTTGATCAAATTTGGAAAATGTTTTTATTTCTTACTAACTATTAACATTTTACAGAAAAAAACAGTTTTACCCTCCCTGATGCAGCATACCTAAGTACTTCTTAAACTAATTCTATTTAAATCGCTAATAAATGTTTTATATTTAAGTAGACGTTTCAGTGTAAATCCAATCAGTCAAATGGAAATTCGCTTAGTCTGCAGGTTTGCTGCGGCGGGGGTATTTTTGAGTTATTTGATTAAATAGACCCTAAACTAAACCATAAATCATTTTGTCAATGGATTAACTTGTAAATTTATCATTTCTTTGGCCCTAAGATACACTATAATCTTTTTGTTGGCATGTTGGCGAAACAGTCCTGTTCATTTAATTCCTGGGCATCATGTATAATATTCCAGGAAAAGTTCGTTTTTTTGATTAATTTATACTTTTAGCGAATTTCCCTATAGGGAAGTAGCTATTACCGTAGGTCTCATGGTAAGACTTAGGCCCGGGACCGATTTACTTTTTCATTTTGATGTCCCCAGAGGCCAAAAACACCACTCGTTCAAATTTTTATATATGTATATATATATATATATATATATATATATATATATATATGTGTCCGTGAACACGATAACTTGAGTAATTGTTATCCGATTTTGATGAAATTTGGTTTGAAGGTGTAAGGCGGGATAAACTTGAATGAGTTCGCGATCCAGCATGATCGGACCATGGGAACAGGGTTTTATGGGGGGTTTTATGGGGTAAAAATTGGTTTTTCTCACTTTTGACCCTCAAAACACAAAATTTCCCAATTTTTCTCTAAACCTTCTTAAAGAGCTTAAAAAAACAAACAATTCAGTATATCAAAGTGTTTTTTTACGGTTATTGGTTACGGAGAAATCTAAAAAAATGGTAAATTTAAAATTCCCATGTTATTCTTATGGAAAATATTGTAAAATGTTGTAGTTTGCTTGTTTATGGATATCTTTTGATCAAACTTGGCAAATATATTCATTTTATACTAAGCAATAATTATTTTACTTAAAACACACACTTTATTAGTTTCCTTGTAGCAGCAAACCTAGGTACTCGTTAAACCTAATGTTATTTAAATAGATCAATTGAAAATCAATTCAGCCAAATGGAAATTCGCTTAGGCGTCAGGTTTGCTGCGGCGGGGGTATTTATCATTATGCTCCTAAAGTAATTTTCTCATAAACATGTATTATTTAACTTTACCCGTAGTCTATAGTATTGATCTAAATACCAACAATTATCAATCAATTTCATTATAGTTTTTGAAATATTATGGTCCACAGTCTACTGAAAGGCTTTAAGAAATCAATAATAAGCACGAAAATTATTTAATTATAAATTTCCCCAGTACTAATTTTTGTAACATTATTTCATACTACATCATTTAAGTTTATAGTATTTGGTTTACACCGGTTATCAATATTTCGACTATAAATAATTTTGACGTAAATGTCATTTAACTTTTTCACGTGATTCAATTAATCAAAAGATATACTATGTTTAGAACTAATTACAGTTAGTGCAGATTACGTCTTATAATAGGATTAAAGTTATGACGTAACTCTAATTAAAATTATGAAGGTAATGAGGCAATTAAATGAAGGAGTGGAAACCCAGATGGTATTAAAATTGGTTGAAACTGCAACAATGTGCTTCTTCCCCTTCTTCCTCCACAGCCAGCATAATCAGCTGACAAGCTCTGCCTTTCCGATATCGTCAATGCTACCAATTGTCATGAGCTATGAGTAGTTAAAACTGTATTATTTATATGTGTATTTGTGTATGTATTTTTTGTAGTGTTAGTTCACGAGTTT